GGAACTGGGGGAGAAAAGGAAGGAGGAATGGAAGAAGAGAGAGGAGAGAGGTAGGAAGAGAAGGGGAGGGTGTAAGAGACACAGGGAGACAGAGAGAGAGACCTAGAGGGGAGGAATCCAAAAAGTATCTCAAGAGTTACTGTCCCAAAGTTAGCAAAGCAGCCTTTGAAGCTGGGCTGCTGTCCTCTGAGGCCACAGTTATCTCTCAGAGTCTCCAATGCCAGGCACTGGTTGAAAGGCGCACGTACTTTTGTTTTACTTGGCTTCTGGTTGGATTCTGGGGAAGTAAGAGAATTCTCTAGCTGTGCATGCTCAAAGTTTCTGAACTGCGGCAGCAACTTCTAGAAAATTTAGGGAGAATAAGAGTTAACATTTTAGAAAGTGGAAGTCTGATTTTTGGGGAAAAATCTTCAGGCCCATAGTATATGCTACTGTGCTGTATAAATAGAATTAGTACTTTCTTCCTGTAAGACAAATTCTCTTCTTTATTCATTTATATCTAATTACTTTGTATCAAGGTGATTAATTCAAAACAGGCACCAACTTATTTAGAATGGAAATATATTTTAATATATTTTATCGGAACGGAAATACATTTTACCAAACCTGCTTCTATGAAACACTATCTGAGCAGGAAAAACACTACAGACGTAGACACTGGGCCAGGGACAGCCACAGCATAGTTGTCAAGATCATCTGGGAAAAAGAAAAGTCCTGGAAATCCTTTTGGAGTTCAGAGCGCCCTGAGTCCACAGCAATCTGACTAATAAATATTCAGCTTCCAGTTCCCAGGGGACCTGTCCATCCCAGGCCTGAGTCACCAGTCCTCTTGGCATAAGTTTGTGCAAGAGACCAGAGGATGTCTGAGGAGCAGCTGGGAGGCCAGTGCCCTCAACAGTGTTCCTTCCGGAAGGGCTCCATCCTGCCCGTACAGCCTGGGAGCGGCTGTCTCACAGATAAGAAGACACCCAAGGGGCCTTGGCCAGAGCCCAGCAGGGACTTCACTCCCCAGAAAGTGCACGCCACCTCCCAGGACTTTGAATTTGACTGAGTGTGAGCCCCAGGACATGTGGAATGGAAGACCTTTTCCTCTCTCCCCTGGTGATCACTAGGGTACCCTTTCATCTCTTGCTCCCCAAAGCAAGCCCTCATCTACAGAGAAAGTTTAATTTATCTCCCACTCCACCCTCTTATTTATACCCCACCCCGCCGCATTGGGGTCTCTAGCCACTGTCATTTGCACTTTATCCAGGACCTCCCCACTCCCATTACTTAAGCCCTTCCCAAGTGTCCCTCCCATGGCCTGTGAAGCCATTATTGTCTCGCTTACATTGCTTCTTCATGGAGGAGATGGAGGTAAGGCCCAGGGAAAGCCCCCAGCAGAGGCCTGGTGAGGCAGTGGTGCATGTCCCCTTGCTCGAGTGGCTAGGTTTTGTTTCCTTCAACTAGAAAGACTCCAGAGCCGACATGTGGGGAAGCCCCAGCTGCAGCCAGCCTGCGCTCTTCTGGGCAAAGCCTCTGAGGTGGCTCCCCAGTCCCCTGTGGGAGGCCATGTTGTTCCTGAAACTGATCAGACAATGCCCTGCACCCAGGATCACATCTCCTGGAGAGAAGTAAGATGGG